GAGGGACAGCAGGGGGTGGGGAGTTGGGGAGAGATAGCATGCAGAGAAATGCCAGATATAGGTGAAGGGGAGGAAGGCAGCAAATCACACTGCCACGTGTGTACCTATGCAACTATCTTGCATGTTCTTCACATGTACCCCAAAACCTAAAATTCAATTAAAAAAGCAAAAGAAAAAGAAAGAAAAGTCATGTGTGTACCTATATCAGACTAGATATGGGGTTCAAAATATATAAAACAAATGGTGTCAGGATTACAGGGAAACACAGACAAATCCAGAACAATAGCGAGGAACGTTCACACATTTCTCTCAAGCAATTTAAAATCCAGTAAACTAACGTGTATCTATATCGATCTGAAGAATACAATGTCATAATGGACAAGAAGAGAATAGTCAGCAGACTTTACAGCCTTTCCAAGAACAAACACAATATTTATAAAAGTTCACCAGACACAGGTCAATAAAGTAAGTTATCAAAAAATCAAAGGCTTGAAATCACCGGTGCATTTCCTGACCACAGTGCAATTTGGAGAGAAATTAATAACACATAGATAACTGGAAGGAACACCTTTATATTTAGAAATTAAGAAATATAATTCCAAGGAATCCCTACAGCAAATAAGAATGAAAATGGGAATTAGAAAATATTTTTTAACTGAACAATCAGCCAACAGTGGGATACAGCTAAAGCAGTACTTAGAGGAAAATTTATAGCCTTCAATAAATATATTAGAAAAGAAACAAGGTTGAAAAGTAAGCGAAGTAGGCATCCATTTCAGTAATTTAGGAAAGAAAGTAGTAACAAAGATAAATGCAGAAATTAATGAAATAAAAAACATACATTGGAGAGAATTAAATGCTTTTTGGAGGACCTCGAACAAGTCAAAACCTGGTTGTTTGAAAAACTAGTGACTAACATCTAGTGAGACTGACTGAGACAAAAAAGAAAGACAAAAATAACCAATATCAAGAATTAAAAATGGGGAAATTACTACATATAGGCAATAAAGGATCACAAGGAGATTAAAAATAACTTTATGCTAATATATTTAATAACAGATAAAATTGATTCCTAGAATATTTCTAGAAAATAAATCTTAGAAAAATATAATTTACCAAAACCAACACATAAAAAAAATATAAAACCCTAGTAGTTCTATAATTAACTAAATTGAATTGAAATTAAAAACCTTGCCTCAAAGAAACAGCCAGATCCAGAGGATTTCACTAGTGAATTCCACAAAACCTTAAAAGAAACAAATAAGTCTAATGTAACCAAAATGTCTCAAAACACAGAAAAAGAGGAAACACTCCTAATTCATACTTTGATACCAAAATCTAACAAGGATAGAATGAAAAAAGGACATTCCATGCCAGTTTTACTCAAGAATATGAGGCCAAAAACCCTTAACAAAGTGTCAGCAAATTGAATTCCGCTACATTTAAAAGGAATAACATGTCACGTTGAACTTATTCCAGGAATGCAAGGTTGGTGTAACCTTTTTAACTAATCAGGGTAGATTCAGGTCTTCTACTGCTGGGTAGACACAGCCAAAAGATTTGAAGGCGGGATCTCAGAGATACTTGCACACCCATGTTCATAGCAGCATGATTCACTAGAGTCAAAAGGCAGAAGAACCCAAATGTCAATTAACAGATACAGTGGAATATTATTTAGCCATAAAAGGAAGGAAATTCTGACACATTACAATAGGGTGAACCTTGAGGACATTATGCTAAGTGAACTAAGCCAGAGACAAACGGAGAATACTGTACGATTCAACTTATATGGGGTATCCTAAGTCACCAAGTTCATAAAACACGGCACGGAGAATGTTGGTTGCCAGGGGCTAGGAGAAAAGGGAGATGGAGAATTGCTGTTTAATGGCCACAGAGTCTCAGTTTTGCAAAATGAAAAAGTTCTAGAGATTCGCCTGCATAGCAACATGAACAGACTCAATGCTGCTAAACTATACACTCAAAAATATCTAAGACAGTACATTTTATGTTATGTATCTTTTAATCACAATTAAAAAATTTTAAAGAATAATCAGGGCTGGGCACCATGGCTCATGCCTGTAATCCCAGCACTTTGGGAAGCCAAGGTGGGTGGATCACAAGGTCAGGAGATCAAGACCATCCTGGCTAACACAGTGAAACCCAGTCTCAAATAAAAATACGAAAAAAAAAAAAAAAGCTAGGCATGGTGGACTGTGCCTGTAGTCCCAGCCACTCGGGAGGCTGAGGCAGGAGAATCCCTTGAACCCAGGAAGCGGAGATTATAGTGAGCCTAGATCACGTCACTGCATTCCAGCCTGCGTCACAGAGCAAGACTCTGTCTCAAAAAAAAAAAAAAAAGCTGGGCGCAGTGGCTCACACCTGTAATCTTAGCACTTTGGGAGGCTGAGGCACGGATCACGAGGTCAAGAGATCAGAGCCATCCTGGCCATTATAGTGAAACTGTCTCTACTAAAAAATACAAAAATTAGCTGGGCATGGTGGTGTGCATCTGTAGTCCCAGCTATTCAGGAGGCAAAGGCAGGAGAATTGCTTGAACTCGGGAGGTGGAGGTTGCAGTGAGCCGAGATCACGCCACTGCACTCCAGCCTGGTGCCTGGCAACAGAGCAAGACTCTGTCTCAAAACAAAAAAAAAAAGAATAATCAGTGTAACTCACATCATTCAAAGAATAACTAGGACAGGCACAGTGGTTCGTGCCTGTAATCCCAGCACTCTGAGAGGCAGAGGTGGGTGGATTATCTGAGGTCAGGAGTTTGAGACCAGCCTGGCCAACATGGTGAAACCTCATCTCATCTCTACTAAAAATACAAAAATTAGCAGTGCATGGTGGTGCGTGCCTGTAATCCCAGCTACTCGGGAGGCTGAGGCAGAGGTTGCAGTAAGCCAAGATCGAGCCACTGCACTCCACCCTGGGTGACAGAGTGAAACTCCATCTAAAAAGAAATAACCAATGTGATATAGTGAAACATGAGACCTATTAAAAACAACCATCATTCCTCTTCAGAGATTGCTAGAGCATCAACTAATTGTTTTGATGTTTTATTTTTAAATGGGAAAAAGCTGTCATAGCTGAGAGGCATGTAAGGAGACATAACTAAATAGAACACAGCACCCTGAATGGGATTCTGGGACATTTGAGGGCCACTGGTAAAAGCTAAGGGCATCCGAATGAAGCATGGGCTCTAGTTAAAACACTGTGTTAGTGTGGGTTCACTAATGGTGACGGGTGTAACATTAGTTGTTAAGAGTGTGGGGGGACGGCCGGGGACAGTTGCTCACACCTGTAATCCCAGCACTTTGGGAGGCCGAGCTGGGAAGACTGCTTGAACCCAGAAGCTTGAGGCCTGCCTGGGCAGCATAGTGAGACTCCCATCTCTACAGAATTAAAAAAAAAAAAATTAGCTGGGCATGGTGGCATGCGCCTATAGTCCCAGCTACTCAGGAGGCCGCGGTAGAAGAATTGCTTCAGCCTAGGAATTTGAGGTTGCAAATGGTGATGACGCGCTGTTGCGTTTTGACATCACCGTAAGAAACTTAAAAGGGAAGAAGCCTCTGTTCTGAGGTTGAGTAATTTTCTTTTTCACAGAGGGGAGGTGAGGAGCCTGGGGACTCAGCTGCTTATTAAGCTTCTTGGGCTCCTATCGAATATTTCATTTGAAAAAAGATTTTGCTGCTTTAAAAAAGTTCAAAAGCCACTGGCCAGGGGCCACTTACCCCCTTCTGAGTCGAGGTCTCCTGGGGACCTGCCTGAGCCACTCAGCTGGAGCAGAGCTCCTGCCACCAGCTACCTGTCGGGGACACACCTCCCAGGCCTGCGGTTCACGCCCTCTCCCACCACTTCGTGTATCTACCTAGGTGGGGGACAGAGACTGGGGAGCCAGAGCTGCGTTGTAAGTTGTGCAGAGCTGAGTGGAGGGGTGGGGAGGGGGTTGGTGAGAGGAAGGGCGGCAGTTGAGGAGCCTCAGAGAAAGATGCCTTCGGCAGCGCTGCTGGGAGCAGGGACTGGGTTTCCTCCGCATTCCACCAAAGGCTCAGCTCCACGGGGAATGCGCGCCTCCTGATGGCTCTGCTGCCGCACCCTGCGTGGCTGTTTCAGTGGCACTGCTGAGACTGGGTCACCCGGGGCCCCAGGAAGACCTTGGGCTTCAGCTGGCGGTTGTCTGGACCCGCAGACCCAGGACGGGATGCTCGGTTGCACTTCCACTTACAATCCCCCCAGGGTAGCCTCTCGGAGGCCTGGAGCTCGCGTGTCCTGGCTCCAGACTGTGCACCCGAGCCAGGGAGGCTCTGAAAGAACACGGGGAGCCAGGAGGCTTCATGGAGGTGAGTGGATGCGACACTGCTCGGGACTGGATGGGGCTGGGGAGAAGTGAACTGTGTGCGTTCCCCTGAGATGGGGCCTTGCCTTTAGATGAGGTCACCACTGCGTGGGCACCTGTGCAGGGCCAGCGGCTTACGGCTGCACCCACCCTCCAAGGCTGAGTGTCGTTCTGACGGTGAACATTCGAACACCGTCCCTGCCCACCTGGCGCTTCTGGATGTCCTGTTCTTGAGCCTGGGCCATGTGAGCCCCCAAGATTTATCTGGGTAATAGCAAATGGGCTGGCATCACACGCCTAGCACAGGCGGCTCACAGCAGAGGGGCCATCCCCAAGGGCTGTCCTGAGAAGACTGCCACCAAGACCAACCATCCCCAAGGGCTATCCTGTCACCAAGACCAAACCCTGAACAGACAGCAGGGAGTTACTGTGTGAAGGGAGGAGGATGGTGCGCAGGACGAGAGCACAGAGCTTGCATCTTGCCACTTGACCCTGGGCTCTTGACCTTGGCCAAGAGACTTTGCCACTCTGAGCCTCAGTTTACCCATCTGTAAAAGGGGAGTCATTGCTCCTACAGAGTTGCTGTGAGGGTCAGTGACACAGCGCTGGGCATGGCTGGCACTCGTGACTGCTCACCCTGTCTCCATCACGCCCACCTTACCTCCATCTGCCCGTTCTCTGCTGCATCGTGGAGGGGGGTCCCACCCCAGGAGTCTCTCAGGACAGGGGTGCCCATCAGCAGGAGTCGGTCTAGAATGGGTGTGTGGCCACCTCGGGCTGCAAAATGCAGGGCCGTGGCCCCCTCGTTGTCCCGTGCTGTGAGTCCGATGTCGGTGAATGTGACCTGGGGAAGGAGGAGTGGAGGGAGCAGTCACCCTCTCAGGGAGGAGGCACACAGAGGGGCAGAAGTGCAAGCGGACTCTGGCTGTGCCTCTCAGGGCACAGGGCACAGGGCACAACCTCAGGAAACGCCGGACAGGGCTGGCTCAGCAAGTGGGTCCCCATCACCCTGGGGCAGTAGGACCTCCGGGGTCCAGGTGGGGGTGAAGTGAGTGCAGTAGCTTTATTTGGAGACACCATGGTCCCAGGTCTTAAAACAAATAGCACAGTAAATGGAATGCCTAGAGCACAGTAAGCAAGTGCCTGCTCTGAAGGAGGGATGGAGGGGGGAGGAGGGAGGGAGGGGGGAGGAGGGAGGGAGGGAGGGAGGGGGGAGGGAGGGAGGGAAGGAGGAGGGAGAAAGGGGGAGGGAGGGAGGGAGGGGGGAGGGAGGAGGGAGGAGGGAGGGAGGAGGGAGAAAGGGGGAGGGAGGGAGGGAGGGGGGAGGGAGGAGGGAGGAGGGAGGGGGGAGGGAGGGAGGGAAGGAGGAGGGAGAAAGGGGGAGGGAGGGAGGGGGGAGGGAGGAGGGAGGAGGGAGGGAGGGGGGAGGAGGGAGGGAGGGAGGGGGGAGGGAGTGAGGGGGAGGGAGGGTGGGGGGTGGGAGGGGGGAGGAGGGCGGGAGGGAGGAAGGACGGGAGGGGGAGGGGGGGAGGGAGGAAGGGAGGGAGGGAGGAGGAAGGGAGGAGGGAGGGAGGGAAGGAGGGAGGAGGGAGGGAGGAAGGAAGGGAGGGAAGGAGGGAGGAGGAGGGGAGGAGGGAGGGAGGGAGGGAGGAAGGGAGCAAGGAAGGGAGGAAGGAAGGAAGGAAGGAAGGAAGGAGGGAGGGAGGGAGCAAGGAAGGAAGGAAGGAAGGAAGGAAGGAAGGGAGGGAGCAAGGAAGGGAGGAAAGGACTTCCTTTGGCCCGAGGGTGGCCCTGCCCTGCTGGGCATTTGCATTCAGCCTCTTTGCTAGAGCAGCAGGTCTGGCACCTCCCTCCAGGGCCTGGGTTTGAGCCAGGCAGTGAGGTTTGGGACCCTGACCTGCCTGCCACTGGCCACCGCTGGAGTGACTTGAGGCCAGCCCACTCTGGGGTCTCATCTGTCCTCTGGGGCCCTGTGCTCTGGTCCACAGCACCAGCCAGGTGACAGTCCCTCACACTGACTTGCTGACACCCGTGCAGCTGGGACAGCCACGGGGCCTGGGCCTGCCCGTGGGATGGGGCTTCTAGGACAGCCTGCCTTCCTGGCAGAGGGGTCGTGATGTGCCAGCCCTCTGCCTTTGCCTCCTTCCTGCCTTGAATGTGCCTGCTTTCCCCATGGGGAGGCTGTGAGAACAGCAGAGAGGTCACAGAGCTGCTGCCTTCTGTGTAAGTGCCTCCCAGGGCGCTTCTGACTGCTCAGCACTCAGAAGCTCTGTTGGGAAAGCACTATGAGCTGGAAATAGACAGGGTCAGGGCTGCCTCAGGGCTCCTCCACATCTGCAGTGGCCTCTAGCCCTGAGACCCCGAGGCCTGGCTGCTTCTCCCCGGGATGAGCCACTCCTGCCTCTGCACGGTCCCAGGAGCTCCATGAACACCCTGCTTCCCTCCCCCTGGGTCCCCAGCTGTGAGCTGATGCTCACAGTGTGTGCAGCCCCCACTCACCCCAGGAGCCCAGAGCCCAGGCATAGGAGCCACGGATAGTTTGGGAGGCTGAGGTCTGGAGTGAATGGGTCAGAACTGCTGGATCGGGAGGGGAAGACAGCCAGGGTGGGACCCAGGTCCAGTTTCCTTCGGGAGAGGCCCCTCCAGCAGGAGGAGCTGGAAAGGCGTCATGGGGTAGGGAATGTGCACTCACAGGAGAGGCACTGGGAGGGGTTGCAGTCACCATTAAGGGAGGCTGGAGGCTACTTAAGGTGGCTTTGGGCCACAGTGGGCAGGCAGGTACCATCCTGAGGACCCTTGTACCACAGGGAGCAGGCCAGCACCAGCCCGAGCGTCTGGGGACACAGGGAGGAGGCGGGGCCATCCCAAGGACCTCGAGGCTGTGGTAAGCAGTGGGTGCCATCCTGAGGGGCCGGGGCCCTCTGTTCCTTCACTTGCCCATTGGTTCAGTAAACATCACCTGAGCCTGACCGCATGGCAGGTGTGGGAACGCAGCAGGTGGCGAAGTCCTGCACCATGGAGCTCCTGGCACTTACACCCTGTCAGGTGGAACCACCACCAATGCCAGGAGTCAGATGTGCCGTGTGTCCCGTGCTAGTGCTCAGGGAGAGGAGAGCAGGAGCGAGGGCGATCTGGACAGGTGGTTCCCCCGGGAAACCAGCTGGGCAGGGAAGGTCCCAAGGGCACTTGGGGAGCTGTGTGGCAGGCACAGGTATAGCACACGCAGAGGCCCGGGGGCAGAGCCAGCCTGGCCCACAGGAGAAGGAACTGGAGCTGAGGGGGTGGGAGCCGGGAGACAGGAAGCCCCAGGCGAGCATGGGCGGTCTGGGCAGGGACAGCTCTCCCTTCTCAGAGAGCCTCTGTGACCTTCACTCAGCAACCACAGTGGCCCTCCAATACGCCAGTCAGATCCTGCCACTCCTGGCTCGGAGTCTTCCGTGGCTCCCCAGGACCCTCAGGAAAGAGCCCTCATCCCCCGAGCACCTCTGCCTGCCTTTCCTGCCCATCCCCAGACCCCGAGGGCCAGGCTCTCCTGGCGTCTGAATGAGCTGTGCCCTCCTCAGGAAGTTGCTTTGGGCCCCGCCCCTTGTCCAGTCACCACCTGCCCATCCTCAGTTCTGCCCCCAAGTCCCCTCCTCAGGGCGGACCTCTCCTGCTCTTAAGCTCCATGGGTCTCTGGCAGCGGGGCAGAGCTCCACACACCCCACCTGCTCTGCTTTTCTGCTGTAGAGGCAGGAAGTCCCCAGGCCATCCTTGAAGAAGGCACCTCCCCAACCTCAGCCACTCTGCTCTGGGGTCTCAGGCCTTCCTTCCCCAAAGAGACCAGAAGCGGAGAAAGGTGGGGACTGGCCCACGGATCTGGGGCGGCAGGGCCTGAACAAGCAGCTGGAGGCACTGCCAGTGTGGGTGCAGACAGAGCGCCTGGGCCACCACCAACTGTGAGCGTGCCCGGGAGTCCCACCAGGACTTCCAGGGAGATGGGGGCCAGGAGAGCCCCAGGGAAGCCGAGGCACGGCCCCCGGAGCAGAGTGCACTACAGGTGGTCAAAACTTCGGGGCCAAGCCCGGCTGGGTGTGCAGGGTCTCGGGAGCCGTGGACCAGCTCTCCGGATGCCCCCACAGCCCTGTGTGTCCCCATTCCCTCTGACGCCCCCCCTCCGCCCCGGCTCCAGGCTCTGCTTGCTGTAGGCCCGCGCTCCCTGGACGTCCCCTTCCCACCTCTGGCACCTACTTACCAGCCAGACGACGAGAGAGTAGTGGCCACGGGCAGCAGCAGCGTGCAGGGCGCTCATGCCGTCGAGAGCTCGAAGGTGCACATCGGCGCCACAGTCCTTCACCAGGAACTGCGCCAGGTGCAGGTGGCCCTCCTGGCAGGCCAGGTAGAGAGGGGAGGCACCGCTGAGCGTCCGCCGGTTCACGCCGCTGCAGGGAAGGGAGGGTTTAGAAGGCCAGTCCCTGCTCGTGGCTGACCCCAGCACTCGCTGAGTGGATGTCACCACGACCCGTCCCTGCCCATGACGGCCGAGTTTCCCATGATCTTTCCAGCTGCTGCTGTGGGGTCTCCTCCCCCAGGCAGCTGTGTAACCCAACTGCCCTATCTTTCTGTCCTTTTCTGGGGATCCTGGGTCCAGGTCAGAAACATGCATCTTCTTAGACCTGGGGGGTCACGATCTTGGTTTCCAGGTTCTCAGCTGTCCTGGTGGAAGCTCAGGACTGACCCCCGACTCCTGTGCCCTGTGGCAGGCAGTGCCGGGTGCCTGGTGGCTATGGCGGCCTGCAGTGAGCAAAGGGCTGCACTGACTGGGCTGGGGTCACAGCAGCGGGGTGGAGGCAGGGCCAGCGTCACTGGGGAGCGTCCTCTCTGGGCTTGTGCCTGCTGTCCCGCCTAGCCTGCTGACCACGACACCCTGTCCCAGATCCTCCACCTCCCAGCCCTTCTCCTCTCAGGAGGGGAGGCTGGGGAGTAATGAGGGATCTCACGAGCACCCCCACACCTGTTCCCCATTTCTGATGGATGAATCCAAGCAACTTGGGGTCCACCCCAGAGAGTCCAGAGGCCTCAGCTGGCAGAGGGTAGACTGAGGCTGGGAGCCGATTTGCCCAGGGGCCTGCACCTGGGTTTGAACCCCACTCCCTTCACAAAGTCCCTGCCAGTGCCTGCCCCCTAGCAGCCTCTCCCTGCTTCTGACAAGGGAGGAACAGGACCCTGGTGGCTGGTCCCTGGGCTCGGACCACACAGGGATCATCCCCTGCACCTATAGAGCCCAAGGGTCCACTCCTCAGGGGATGTGCCCTGAAGGGCTGCCAGCATGCCTTGGTGCCCTTCTCAGGGCAGGGTCCGTGCTTTCTCCAGACTCTGCCAGGTATCCTTGACTGTGTCCAGGGTTGGAACAGGCAGGTGTCCAGCGTGGTGGTTGGGAGCAAGCTGTGAGGCAGCCAGTGGGTCAGGGGGCACTGGAGAGGGCATGGTCTGGCCAGAGGCAGCCATTTCTCGGCTGCTCCTCAGTGCCAGGTGGGAACTAGGCTGGGGGCACAGGACTATCCCATTTGTGTGTGGTGTGTGTGTGTGATGTGTGGTGTGTGTGCAGTGTGTGTATGTGGTGTGTGGTGTATGTGGTGTGTGTGTGTAATGCATGTGGTGTGTTTGGTGTGTGTGTGCGTGCTGTATTGTGTGTGTGGTGTGTGTGGGTGTGTGGTGTATGTGTGGTGTGGGTTGTGTGTGGTATGTGATGTGTGTGTGACGTGTGTGGTGTATGTGTGGCATGTGTGGGGTGAATGATGTGTGGTATGGGTGAGGTGTGTGGTGTGTGTGTGTGACATGGTGTGTGGTGTATGTGTGGTATGTGTGATGTGTGTGTGTGTGATGTGTCTGTGTGTGGTGTGTGTAATGTGTGTGTGTGGTATGCGTAATGTGTGTGTGTGGTATGCGTGTGGTGGCGTGTGTGGGGTGAATGATGTATGGTGGGTGTGTGGTGTGTGATGTGTATGTGATGTGGTGTGTGTGGTCTATGTGTGGTGTGCGGTGTGTGTGGTATGTGGTGTGCAGTGTGGTGTGTGTGTGATTGTGTGGTATGTGTGATGTGTGTGCGTGATGTGGTGTCTGTATGTGGTGTGTGTAATGTGTGTGTGTGGTATGCGTGTGATGTGTGTGTTTACGTATTAACATGAAGTCTCCCAGTTTTCTTTTTTTAAGGCAGGGTCTTGCTGTCACCCAGGCTGGAGTGCAGTGGCACAATCTCAGCTCATTGTAACCTCCGCCTCCCAGACTCAAGTGATCCTGTAGCCTCAGCCTCCTGAGTAGCTGGGACTACAGGCACTCACCACCATGCCAGGCTAATTTTAAATAAATGTTTTGTAAAGCTGGGGGTCTCACTATGTTGTCCAGGCTGGTCTTGAACTCCTGGGCTCAAGCAATTCTCCTGCCCAGCTTCCCAAGATGCTGGGATTACAGGCATGAGCCACTGCGACCGGCTCGTCTCCCAGTTTTCAATGGTGGAGACGTCTCTAAAAGCTGTGTGGGTCTGAGAGACACTGTGGCCAGCCAAGTCTGGGGGTGGTGTGGACGCTCTGGGGAAAAGCCACAGAAGCGAAATCTCAAAGGACTTTGCCAAGCGGCCCAGGATGGGCACACCTGGGAATGAGAACCCGATTCGTAAGCCAGCTGTTAGGGCCTGTCCTGGAACAGAGTGGGTGTTGGGGAGTGGGGCCGCTGGGACAGTGACAGGCAAATGAGAAGAGCTGTGGTCAGAGGTAGGTGGGTCCCTGGGGACCCTCAGCCAAGACAGCAGGAGGCAGAGGGCCTGTTCCTGTGACAACGGTGACCTCTGTCCAGAGTGAGGACTGGAGGGCGTCCAGGTGGTAGGGAAGCCCTCTACCTCACTGGTTGTCCTGACCGTGGTCCTTGCTCCTCACCCATCCACTAATTCCAGCACGGGATACAGGGCCCTGGAGACCATGAGGCCCACGTCCGGCTCGAGGGGTCCCAGTACAGGGACAGGGCAGTGCAGAGGCAACTCCAGCCTCCGTGTCCCCAAGGCCACTAGACTGTCCCCACTCCTGTCAGGCGTTGGGAGGGTGCCCTCCCAGGTTGCTGCCCACGTCCCCAGCTGTTTCAGGTCCAGAGATGTCCCCAGGCGGGGCTGGAGCTACCCCAGGCATCAGAGCCACGTCTTCGTGTTCTCACCACCCCCAGCCATTCTCTAAGCTGAAGCGCTGTCCTGTGTCCCCTCGGGTAGAGGCCTCACTGCCCTTGGCTCCTGCCAGCTTGCCCCCACCATGACAGTGTGCCTGACTCACCGAAAAGGCCACCAGCCTGTCCTCTTGGCCCCACTCAGTGAAGCCTCCCCTTGGCCAGCTGGCCCCAGGCTGCCCCCAGGCAAGGCTCCAGGCTCCTTACCTCCCATGCGCGGCCGTCAGGAGCTTCAGGCAGGTCAGGTCCCCGCTAACAGCAGCGTGGTGCAGGGGCAGGGCCCCCTCCCGGGTCTCCAGTGTGGCTGAGTGGCCCTCGTGGAGCAGCCACTCCACCAGCACTGGGTGTCCAAAGCGGGCGGCCAGGTGCAGCGGGGAGACACCCGAGGCATCTTGGTCCTACTGAGGCCCAGGCAGGTCAGGAAGTGGGGGGCAGGCCTCGACCCTCCCCTGCTGGGCAGCCCGTGTGGCAGAGCTGCTGCCCAAGGTGGGCCCAGGCGAGGGCTCACACTGCCTGCAACCCAGTGAAGGGCCTTCCAGCTCCTTCCTCCTTCCCTCTGTCCTCCCTGCTGGGACTGAAGTGAAAGGAGGGCCAGGACTCAGGGGCAGGTCTTGGGAGGTCACCTCTGGCCATCCTGCCCCCTCCTAGGCCCTTTCCCACTCAGCTAGGTGCCCGCAGCCCCCGCCCGCTCTGCTTATGGTCAGAAAGGCTTCCCAGGACACCTGCCTCTGGCTGGTCCCGTCTCAGTGCCCTCCTTTTGGCCACAGAGCTCAGGGCCAGGGAGCATCCCATCACAGGTGTCATGGGTCCGGCAGACCTGGGCCTTCTCCAAGGGCCCTGTGGTCAGAATGGATCCCCAGAGAAGCACAGCTCCTGCCTGCTGCCCTTGAAATTGGCAGAAGGGCTGCCCAGAACAGGAGGCTGGGCTGGGACCCTCAGGTGCTCTGGGGAGCCAGGTGGGGGGACCTTCCACTCCTTTGTCTCAGCAGGTCCTGCTGCCCCCACCCCAACTCTAACCTCGGGGCAGCGTTCTAAGGCCGGTCAGGCCTGCTCACCGTCCTCCTGAGAGCTCCACAGGGTTGAGTGACAGCTCTGAGGCCCTCGCCTGCACGAAGGGCACTGGGCAGGCAGGAGAGGGGAAGGAGCCCCAGTAGAAACACTCTGGACAAGACGGTCACCATCAGCGGCCCCCCACTCCCATCCCCTGGGGCCAGGCTCCCAGCTCGCAAGCCCAAAGTCCCACAGCGCTGCTCTAAGGATTCTTTTCTAGACCCTTTGGGGAGCAGCCCCGTGGGCCAGGCCTGATGAGACAGGTGTCCTGACCTCGGCAGGACGCCCCACTGGCAACAAAGCGCTGCTGGCAGAGGAGGTGATAAGAACATTGAGGAGGTGGCTTTGGTGCTCAAGGCTTTGCGCTTCGGGAGGCATGGGACAGGGACTGGATCCCCAAGAGAAACAAAGGGCCAGGGCCATGGAGGCCGAGGGCCAGTGCTCTGAGCCTGCTTGCCGCATGCCTCCCTGGTTCCACACCAGCAGGTTTGTGGAGGCCAGGCTGCCCCGTCCCCGCTCACCTGCAGACCACAGCCCCCCTCTCGGACCAGCCAGCACAGCTCAGCCAGGCTGCCCGTGGCGGCGGCATCATGCGCTGGGGTGGCGCCGTTGTGGGCCCGCTGGTTACCAGGCAGCTTGGCCCGCTGCACCAGAAACTTGACGCAGTCCAGGTGGCCAGCCCGGGTGGCATGGTGAACCAGGCCAGCCCCCAGAGCATCAGTGATGCCCGGGCCCAGGGCACCAGCCTCCAGCAGCCGCTCCAGTGTGGCCACATCCCCGTCCTTAGCGGCCACAAGTGCCTGCTGCTCCTCCATCCTCTGGCCTGGGCTCTCGGCGGTGACTCATGCACAGGCCGGGGCTTCCTGTTTCAGACGTGGATGAAGCTTGCCGGCTCTGGTTACCTGATAGCCGCCACAGGGCAGATGGGAGGCGGCAGGGCAGGGTGGGGGGACAGGCCTTGGGGACCTGCCCAAGCCACTCCTACAGTGTGAGAGTGCCAGGTGCCTGGAGCTGGGAGGATGGAGTACAGGGCACAGGGGAAGGCCTGGACCGGGATAGGCCAGGGCTGGGCACGGCCACCAGAGAACGGAGGACTGCACCAAGGCTACCCAGACCTGTCCAGATGGCTGGAACCCACCTCTTCATCTGCAGAGTGAGGGCTGAGGACACGTGCCACCAAGCTTCTCACAGGAGTCCTGAGTGGCCTGGGAGACAGTTCCCCCAATCCTCACAGAAGCCCAGACCCCCCAGCCGCCACCAGTGTGTCTGAAGGGTGCCCAATAGGTGTTTGGCCGAGTTGACACCCACAGAGCTGAGCACCCCACCTCTGGATCCCGGCCCTCTGCCCTGGAGGCTCCCATAAACCTCTGGGGACACGGTGGCTCCACAGGGCCTGCAATGGGCTCAGAACCCTGACGTGGGTGTGGCCAGGCCACCTGGGCAGTGTCAGCCCCCTCTCCAACCACACTGACCCAGCCTCTGGGCTGTAGCCCAAGGGGCCCAGGTGCATTTAACCCCTTTCCAGATTGTTCTAGACAATCGGTAGCTTTGGTTTGGGGACATTAGGACCACCACAGCCTCTTCCTGACAGCAGTGGGAGGCTGCCGACAGGGGACCCATTACATCTGTACATTTATAGAGGCTCCTGGAGACGCTACCTCTAACTGGGTTTCTGGGCTGACGTGTCATCACACCACAGTGACCCGGGAGCTGCTGCAGCCCCTCCCCCCACCACAGGCTCAGTCAGGACCTTAGTACCCCAAGCGCAGTGCCCACTGGAGAAACGGCAGTCGGTCCCAGCTGAGCCCTGAAATCCTTTATTTGTTCATCTAGTTTCTGGCAAGTGTTTCCTCAAAACCATCATGTAGTTTCTTGAACCATAAAACCACACATTAAAAATGTTATTTCACTGAAAGTGACTCCTATGCAAATACCAATTGGGACGTGTGTCCAAATGCCACAGAGCATTTGAGAAAAAAATCCTTGGCAAATAAAATTGAGGTAAAAGCTGAGTCAAGGCTGACCCGATTCTCCACCTCAGGAATGACCTGGGGCTGTACAAGCACCAGCTCAGCGAGGCTGGAGCTGCACTCGAGTCCATGACCACAAGGGACAAGACGAGAAGGCCTGGGGAAGTGCGCAACCCTGAGTGCCCGTGGGCGCAACAGAGTCAGGCTGGGGACGCAGGAGGGGTGGTGGGCACTGGGCAGAGCAGGCCTGGCCGAGGCTGGGTGTCAGTGACCCCCCATCTGGGCACCGAGGAAGGAGAGCTAAGCAGATCCCTGGCACAATTAGTGCCTGAAGAATGTCTTCGTTTACAGTGTTACTACTCAGTTACTTCCTTTGTATAATCCTATTAGTCAGAACAATTAGTGCCTGAAGAATATCTTACTACTCAGTCATTTCCTTTTTTATACATATAATTGTATTTTATAGTCGGAGGAATGTCTGGAGCAGACACAGTGCCGAGCATGATTTAAAGAAAAAACAATTATACCAGGACAATAACGTATGGCCCAAAATGTGTGTCTTTGCCTGAAAGGGCACGCATGGCAGGCTGGCCTAGGCGGCAGCGTTCAGTACCATAGACACCCACTGTATGGCAGGCTTGGAGCAAGAGTCACTCCTCCTGAAAAGGAGTTTCAGTACCTTGCGTCTAGCTCTTGTGGAAAGCTGGCCCCCGGCAGGCAATCCTGCCAGTGTCCAAGGGCTTAAAACCCCTCCGGTACAATTGCGCCGTGGTGGCTGTGAACATTGTCAGCTCTGTTGTTACCGTGCTGGCTCAAAGCATCCTCCCGTAGGAATCCTTAGAAGGAGTCTGCCCATAGATAGGAGACGATGCACACTGCACCCTCCTTGTCGCATACCGCCCACCTCCTCGGTGACCTAATGGGGGTGGGCCCCTTGCTTATCGCCCACGTGATTGTCTTGACCCTATCACTATCCTTAAGATCACCTCACTCACTACGCTGTCCCCTAAACTATACCCAATAAATAGATGCTTTTGGATGTTCGGGGCCTCACCTGTCTCCGCTTATAGGTGGCGTGGCTCCCCACCAAGCCCAGCTGTGCTTTCTTTTTCCTTCTGCGTCCTGTCTCTTTATTTCTCAGATCCTGTGCCTCAGCACAGCGACAGGGATACCCCGTGACCCTGTAGGGCTTGACCCTACAGCTGGGGCCACTGTGGCCGAGACCAGAGGAGCAGCGCTGGTGGAGGCAGCCTCTGGAAAGCACCTGAGAAGTGATTGCTCTGGAAAGGTACACGTGGGAGGCCATGATCAAAGCAAAACAATCAGGTTTCCTATTTTCATGACAGCATTTGGATGATGATGAGTTATAAATACTTGGATTCTATCTTCTAGATAAAAACACGACGTTCCAGGAAAGGGCACTCATGACTGGCTTGCTCCATTCCCAGAGAGGGTGGATGAAACCGGTGTTTCCACATCACCATTCGAGGACTGGCCTGTGTGAGTTCTGCAGTGGGCGGTCCTATGCAGTGGGTGGTCCTATGCTGTGGGCGGTCCTATGCAGTGGGCGGTCCTATGCTGTGGGTGGTCCCACACAGGCACTGCTGTCCTGGGCCCTGTGAACTCCACAGGGGTCCAGGGAAGGAAGGGGGGGTGCACACTCCCCTGCAGGCACTCCGGGACCGAATGCAGAAGGGGGCATGAGACAGTCATCCTGGCACAGCCCGTAGGAGGGAGCTGAAGGGACAACCCTGTGCCCTGCGATGGGCTTCCTAGGAGCAGGCAGGGAGGGCATCCGGCACTAGGCCTGGTCCTCCAGCTGAGCCACCGCCTGCTTCAGGTCCTGCACGATGAGGTCCACCTCGGCCCTGGTGGTGCTTCGGCCCACGCTGAGCCGGAGCGCGTTCCTGGCCACACTGAAGGGGATGCCAGAGTTCAGCAGCACTGGGGATGGCCTGGGGATGGGAGAAACCGCACTTCTGCTGAGGACACAGGGAAGAGGCACAGCTCCTGCTGCTTTGGGCCACTCCCCACTGGCCCGCCTCACCACCTGACACCCCTTCCTGTTGAACCACCCAGAAGAAGGACAACCCTAAAGCCACCCGCATCAAGGTCCGGCTCAAAGTCGCCCCTACCCCCGTCCTCCCTGTGGAGTGCTCTTGCACTCAGCACCCCCAGGCAACGCTACTCCTCCTGCACAGAGCACCGGGGCCCAGGAGTGCTCCTGTCCTTGAGGGGTCTGAGTTCTTGGAGAACACTCATGCTGACACAGACAGTGCCTCACCCGAGGGGCCTGCCTGAGCCACTTGGTAACTTTGTGGCATCCGGCATGGGGCTTTGCAGACATTAGGGACCCAGCCAGTATCTAGGCACAGAACAGATAAGTGTGCTGGGGCGTCCTGAAGCAGGGCTGTCCAAGGCTCGAGGTGTGGGCTCTGTTGAGGGGCCTGCCCTCATCTTACCTGGGCCCCTGCCCTCATCACACCCGGTCCCCTGCCTCCCCTGCCCTGCACTGCCCCTCCTGCCACAGGGCACTGACACCCCCCAGGGCCCCATCTTGCCCCTTTTCCCTAGAGCTGGGCCCTCCGCTGTCTCACTGCATGTGCTCCTGCACAATCCTGCCGCCCTGACCTTGATGACCACGTGCTGCTGGACACAGTTCTGCTCTCTCCCCGGAGCCCTGAGTGTTCCTCCCGCATCCACTTCAACCTCCCACAGGGGCCTCACATTTTCAGCAGGCCAGACTCAAAACTGCTCCTCCCCTGCTGCCAGCAGGCCACTGCTTGGGCACCCCACGGCCTCTGCCTGGCCCAGGCCACCCGCTCAGCTGGGCCCCACTATCCCAGAATCTCTGCTGTATCTTGCAGATGGCTGATCTGACACTTGAGTCTCACATCATGGCCCTCAGGGCTCCCACTTCCTGGAGGTTTCAGTGAGCACTGACAGTCGGGCCATCCCTGCCCCAGTGCTCTCCAGCCCATCCCCGTCCTCTCCAGCCTACCCCAGGCCCCCCCAGCCCCTGCCACACTGCCCCTCCAGGCCCTGCTCCCCCTGCCTTCAGAATTGAGCAAGAGAAGCCCCCTTCTCCTTCATAAGTCCTAGTCCTTCAGATGGCAACTTGGAGGTCACTTCTTCTAGGAAGCCCTCCCTCTACCCCACTAGGGTCCAGGTAGGGCTGGCCTTCACCAGCTAGAGTGTGGCCCAGTGGCCGTATCCTGACCCTGCCCACCACACCCAGTGCCTGAAGCACCGCTGTGCTCTGGGTTTGTGAAGAGCACTTACTGGTCCCCGTGGTCCGAGTGGCACGCGGCCCCCACACTGGCCATCAGCACTCGGCATTGTGCAAGCACCATGCGTCCTGTGGAGACAGAGCACATGCCCCTGAGATGGGGCTCCCACCAGGCAACCCTTCTCTCCCTTCCCAGGGGCCTGCTGGGCGCAGGCTGCTTCCCTCCCTCCAGGCCACCTGGTAGAATTCCAGCGCTGCCTGAAGCTGGGGAGAGAGCTCCCAGCAGGAGTCGATGAAAATGCTTCCTTTTCCTTTCTCCCCTGGCCGCAGACACACAGACACTATTCTGCCTCACAAAGCTGGCCTTGGAATCAACTGCCTGCAGAGATACCTGGAGTCCTGAGCAGCTCCTTCCTTACGAGCTTACAGGCCTGGCAATGTCACATCCACACCTGCGCTCTGGAAGATAGACACGTCAGAGTTCTATGAAGCCGGAAGGCATTTAGGCAGGATTGCTTGAGCCCAGGAGTTTGAGACCAGCCTGGGCAACACAGGGAAACCCCATCACTACACAATTTTTAAAAAATATTAGCCATGGCCAGGTGCACTGGCTCAC